AAGTCTATCAAGATGTACAGACAATGTATAATATAATAAAGAGTTAAAAACAGAGAAAAGGAATGAAAGGAAGGAGGGAAGAAATTGAGAAAGCTGAAATAAGAAATAAATAAAAGAAGTACTACCTGTCTCCTTAAGTGTTGCTGGGAGAATAAAAGTCGTTGCATGGGAGGGGGAGAGAGAAGAGATTTGTAGGTGGCGTCATCTCTAACGGTTATCCGACGAAGTTTGAACTAAAGCGTAATTAGGTACGAGAGATATATTACTCAGAAATATTATGGAAAATTGAACGAAAGTTAATAGAAAGTGGATGAAAAATTCAAAAGAAAAATAACTGTTGAGTAATAAGAGAGAATAATTGAAATAAAAATATATCATATATATATATTGTAATGTCAACATTACATGGCATTTAAATAGTTGCGCAAAAGTGGTAACAGCACGAACTACGGAGAGAAAGTGTGTGCGGATGTTGGGGGAAGCAAGCCTCATGTAACTCAGAATGTGAGGGGCCGCCGAGAGAGAAGGTGATAGCGGCCAAGAGAGAAGGTGACAAGCTGTCAAGAGAGTAGGTACTAGCCAGCATGCTGAGAAAATAGAAAAAGGAGTCCTAGCCGGAACATTCAGGGATAGAGCCACAAAGTTTAGACTGGGACAATCAAGGTTTTTGAAAACAATAATAAATTTTATATGTATAATTAGTGTATTTAGTAATTAGTAAATTATAGTTATTTAATGTTGAATGAGTGTTCAGTTGTCAGAACCCAACCTGAAAATTTATGTTATGTGTTAAAATAAATAGTATATTGAAAAAGGAAACTCGTTTGATTTTAGAGGGAAAGAGGAACGTTACAATATATATATATATATATATATATATATATATATATATATACAATGACATGACAACAAAAGTTATTTGTCGTTCATTTATAATTTCATAGCGTATTGTGTATAGCAACTATTTTGCATTATTAGGACCTTATTGCTCATATTAAGTCTTCCTATATCTGTACAGTTATGTAAATACTTCTTTTATCCCTTATTTTTTAGTTGTTTTTTTTTGTTTGTTTGTTTGCTTTTGTTTATTGTAATATACATTTTGGCCAGATGTAATGTTAATTTTATGTACAATATTGTTATTCTCAAGGGACGTAGTCCCAGAATAAAGTTGATTCTTCTATTCTATTCTATTCTATATATATGTATATACATACACATGCATATACATATATATATATATATACACACACACATACATATATGCACACACACCTGTATACATATATATACACACATCCTTATATATATAAGGAAGTTGTCAGCAAAAAGGAAAGGAATATAACTATGGATGTTTTAATAAATTCAGAATTTGGGAGTAGGCTAAAGACAAGTTCTGTTTGTCAGTTTTTAGATTCACTGTCTTTGGTTGAAGCTGGATGTGGAGGGTTTCAAAAATGAGTCGTTTGTCATGATTGAGAACTGTGGCAAGGATGGATGTTTTGTCGAAATCAAATGAATGATTGAGGGAGAGAGAATGTTCGGATAATTTGGAGGTGGTAAAATTACGAGAGGATACAGAATATTTATGTTGGGTTATACGATCTTTTAGGAGATTTTTGGTTTCACCAATATAGGATGAAAAACAATTGGGGGTAGAACATGGAATACGGTAAACGATATGAGAGCGGTGTGAGAGAGGAACAGGATCTTTTAGGGATGTGTATAATTTAGAGAGTGTGTTGTGAGATTTGAATGCAAGTCGTAAGTTAGGGTTAGTAGATTGTAAAACTTTATTGATGTTGTCTGAAAGGTTAGGAATATAAGGTAGAGATCTGTATATAGGGGCTGAAATGGGTTGTGGAGAATTAGTGGAAGTTGAGATTAAGGAAGAGTGGTTATTGTGGTCTGTTATAAGTTTGTTAATGACATGGAGAGGAAAATTATTGTTTGACAGGATCTGTTTTATGCGTTTGATATTGGTAACGTGAAATTGGGGATCAGAGAGTGAGAGACTGTGGTGGATGAGATTTTTCGCAATGTTAATTTTTTGGTGGTAGGGATGTTTAGAATGGAAATTTAGGAGTCTGCCAGTGTAAGTTGGTTTAGTGTACCAGTCTGTGGATATGGTGTTATTGGGATATTACCAATTTTGTAATATTCATGTTTTTTTTGGGGGGGGGGGGTTGATTTTCTACTTACCCAACCATGTCAGTTATTTTCCCAGCTTCAACCAAAACTCCATGCTGTATACAAGTGTAAGTTTCTTTATATATATATATTTCTTTTTTTCCTTATTATTTTCATTTTCTGCACACTTCCTTTATGTCCATTATTTTTTATTATTAGTTTTCCTGTTTTTTTTTTCAATTTTGCCTTGAGATCTCTAGGATTATATTTATAATTACATGTATTTTCCATACTTCTTATTAAATTCAATTTTCCCTATCTACAATAATTTATATATTAAATTATAACTTTGTATATTAAATTATTTAATATATTGAGTTTTTGATGGTGTGGTTGGTTAGAATTAATATTCAACATGGTTTCACTTGTCTCAAGTTTTTACTTTCACTTGCCTATATATGTAATATGTAGTAAGGGTAAGTATTGCGATCGTGAAAATTTTCGAGTCTGAGTTTTCAATAGAAATGCACGTTTTGAGCTACCCTGAGTCCAAATAACCAAGTCTCAAAAAATGGTCTGTGTGTATGTGAACACTCTAGCTCAAAAACTAAAAGTCGTACGAAACTGATATTATGTATTTAAGATAGGTATATGCCTTACATGTCCTATCAACTTTTTCCTTAAAATTGGCTAACCAGAAGTGGCACTTTATACCAATGCTGAAACACATTTTTACAATTTTCTCAAAAGCGGCTTCTACGATTTTGATTAAACTCGGTGTATCACTATATAATTAAGTGGTCTTTAATACCATTTAGGTCTTATCCCTGTTGATGTCCCTTTACAGGGCTTAAATGCCCAATATTCATATACGTCTTCCTCTAAAGTACCTATACTATGGTTTATTTCAAATAATTAACTATCTCTCATTATTAAAAGTTATGAAAACATGCTAAATATAACTTTTGAAAGAATTTAATAATTAAATAAAGGAGAAAAAATAAAAATGCTTATCCAGGTCAAAAATGAATCTCCGCAAATACTAGTCAGAAGGTATACGTATATTATATCATTGGAAAGCGGAGAGTTGTATATAAAGTTGTAGAAGGTAACAAAGAGTGACGAAAAAATCATATATAATAATAATAACTTCATATATAAAATCATATATAATAACCTCTTAAAACTAACATTATTTAACGTAAATCACATGTTTTCAAGGAAATTAAATGAAATTTACTAACTAAATAGAAACCTTTAAAATATTTTTAAGTTTGAAAAAAGTATTTAAAATCCACCTAACCAAGGCAATGACATTGTTTAAAAAACTATTTCATGGATGTATAAAGCATACGTTTATAACCTGAAATATATTTACTGTAGTTTAATAACTCTAGATCTGATATTATATTTAAATAATTAGATATCTACCGTCCGTTTATTCTGAAAAATCATTATGTAACCTTTTAGAAAATTAAATTAGTGAATCATTTGATAAATTTTCCCTTTGCAATATTCCAATGGAATCCACTTACAATCAGTGTAATAACTTTTGACCTGTCTATGACAGACAATGCAAATCTTTTAATTCCGTTTTAGTAAACTTTGCAATGGAAAAGAAACATTTAATAACTATTTATTATTTATTTACATTCCACCCTACCTTGCCTGATGGGCCATACGGGCGTTTGCAATAGTGGGCTGTTATGCATGACTGCATAACAGCATACTACTACAAGTGAAACAGTTTAAAATATGTTATCTTTGGTGACGTCTTATCAAGGGTGTCCGTCTTCCGGCGGTCTTCTTGGTGGTGGTCCTCTTCTCCGTGCTCCGATGTTGAAGTGGGCTGGACCCACTGCCTCCTTCCAGTCATAAATGAATTTCTTGAACCGAGGGAAGTTCTTCTTACTTACCAACTGAGGAAGTTCATCCTCTGTTAGGACATAAATTCCTGCGGTTTTCATCATCGTTGCCCTTATTCCTTCAAATGCAGTGCAGGCCGTGACCACGTGCTCGACAGTCTCCAGAACTCCACAAGTGGGGCATTGGGGATCTATGTCCTGGCCAAAGCCATGTAGCTTAGCTCGAAAACCCCCATGCCCCATGAGGAACTGTGAAATCCAATAGTCCGGGAGGATCCATTGTGCATCTAACCGCGACTGTACGGTGGGGAAGTATTTTCTGAGAGTACTCCCTTTCGGGGTATCAACCCACCGACGGCTCCATTCCTCAATCGTATCCTCCCGGATTATCTTCTTCCATTTGTTGGGACTTTCCACAATCCTCACCCGTAGATTTTCTGGAACTCCAGCCAAGCCTTCTTTCTTGAATTTATGCTTGATCACATCTTCTCGCAGGAGGAGATCGAGAGGTACCGCCCCCGCTAGGACCTGCACTGCTTCATGTGACGTTGTCCGAAATGCTCTGGTGACACGCAACAGGACCATCCTCTGGATCGACGCCAACCAAACTAGGAATAACTAATAGTTGTACAATCCATAATCAACCGGTGCCCACACCCACAAATCAATGGGCCTAGATGATATGTATCTCCAGGATCCTAAACCCCTATACATTCCTGAAACTTTAGCAACTAATTGTTTTGATGCACTTATTTAGACATTTTTGGTCTAGATTATGAGCATTAATATTTATTTTCAAAATCTTTATTTATTTTATTTTTTTATTTTTATATTAGTATTTATTCTATTAATAACCTTCTGTTGTTGATAATTTTTCAGTTCTGTTACATTAACTTATTGTGTTGTAAAATATAGAAAGAGAAAAACGCATCTTCTAGAACTGCATTTTTCTCTTTGTATTTAAAAAATGTAAGACATTGTTGGTTCATTTATTTATTTTTTTAGAGCCAAAGATGAAGCAAAAAAGCAACAAATGTTGCTGCAGTCTCAAGAGGAAGAGAGACTTAAAAAGGAACAGGAAATGGAGGAAGAACGGAGAAAGGTTATTTTATACATTTATTTATAATTTGTTAATTGAACTCAAATATGCAATAAGAAACCTACCAACATTTTGTGAACTATTTCAAAGCTACATAATTTTTTTTAAAAAATTATCGAACTACAAAAAATTATCTGATGGTGTGTGTGTGTGTTAACAACAGTGTTGCTAATAGTACAAGGGTCATTTTTTAAGTTAAAGCCGATTGTGCATAGTGTCCCTACAGGTTGTCACATAACATCTGTTCAAGGTTAGCCACACTTGCCCAGTCCCCCACTATACCAACATTACATTTCACGGCTCTGCCAATGTAGGATGTGTGGTCACGCTGCTTTATTTCTCATCATGATAATCAATAATAGCACCAATTGCGAATTGCACTCGTTATTCAGTTTTTGAATGAAAAAAAAAAAAAATAATGCCATTCAAAACCGCCGGCAACGAATGCTCACCTAGCAGTATCATTCTGCTTCACAATAATGCTCGGCCTCAAGTTGTGGCAAGGACAAAGACGGACAACTCTCATTGGGAAGAACTCTACTACCCACACCCACCGTACAGCCCTGACATAGCAGCATCAGACTTACATCTTTTTCTAAAACTTAAGGAATTTCTTGGTAGAAGTCGATTGAAAAGTGATGACATGTTAAACTAACTATTACTTACTGGTTAAATGGTCAGGCAGTAGAGTTTTTTGATGAGAAGAATCAAAAGTTGGTACTACAACTTAAAAAATATTTAGGTATTAATGGTGACAATGTTGAAAAGTAAAAATGTGTTCATATTTTAGGCTTTGATACAATTAACATCCATAAATTAAGTTCTTCTTACTCCATTACAGAATAGTTTTTACTTTTAAAAAATGGCCCTTGTAGTTGGTTCCAGAGTCATTACTCTTTACAATTTTTAACCCATATTCTGTTCTCCATTAAGCGATTGTCTTTTCGAGCTGCCATTAATACACCAATCAAGGTCTTTAGCACACAAATATTTTTGGGTTGTTCTTAGACTCTTCAACTGTTTTCTTCTGGATTTCTGTATTCCTACGTTTCACAATAGATTTCATCATATTTACGTTGGGCAGGAAACATTTTTGGCTTACCCCACTGGGTTTTAAATTGTTTACCTTTCTGTGACTATAGTTTTAGGACATTAAATTTATTTTTTTCCTCCTGGTATTTATGTTGTGAACTTACATCTATTTCATGGGAATGAGGTTATATGATAGTTATTTTAAGGATTTTCTAAGAAGAGAAACTTTAATATCGCTTTCATCAAACTACATCCGCTTTCCTTTTCCTTAGAAACTTGAATTAGCTTTTCACAATGAGAAATTCTGGGGAGATGCGATGAATACTGGAGTAGTTTGGAAATCACATATAAAAGAATGATGAGGCACAAACTATGCCACTTCCAAGAAAAGTTTATCTTACTCATATTTTACTGATATAATGTGACTCATCATGAAGCTGGCCTGTCTAGTCCAGTCTCTTTAAATGTGTGAAATGATGATTTAAAATAAATTTGGTGAATGAAGTTGAGAAATTTTCTGAATTAATTAACTTCCTTTCACAAGTTTTATTACTAAATTTAAGTTTTGGTAATAAGTTTTATAATTTCCAGATAAAAAAGCATTTAGCCTTCTCAAAAACCTAAAAAAGGTCTAAAAATTTTGCTGAACTTGTTACATTGAATATTGTAATATTGTTATATTGAAATAGTTGACCGTTGCATTATAAAGGAAGGAGATGGCCCGGGGTGGCGGTCATAAATAGGCTAAATAGTGGTAAAACTATTTTATTAAAAGCCAACGTTTCGATCCGACTTTGCAGGTCTTCTTCAGGGCTAGAACGGACAAGATACAAAAATGTAGAGAATTGTGGCGGTTACATAATATTTAGACAAAATTTATAAACAATGTGAATAAGCTTATTAAAATTATAAATAATAAGTACATTAAATTATAAACACAGTAAGCAAAGTAACAAGATCTTAAACTGAAGTAAATAAATTATAACAATTGTTGTAGTGTTATAGATGATTTAATTTTTTGCCTTTCAGTATATGTAAGAAAATTACATTTAAATATTAGATAATATTGAGACATGGTTAAACAGTAAAATGAATACAAACTGAAAACGGATGATCATACATTGATGTAGAATGTTAATATAAAATTAAAATAAAATAAAAGAGAGATCATACAAAGCGGAAATACTTAGAATAATGAACAATTAAATTGAATTAGTCAATAAAGTAGATAAAAATAATATGATGTAATATGACAAGTTATTTTTCACTTATAAGATTTAAAATGTGTCTACATGTTAAAGAAATACAATTTTTATCTACTTTATGATTAACAGGATTCTGTTCCTTGTGAATGTGGATGGATTCGAAAATGAGTCTTTTTTATGGTTAGGGACCGTGGCAAGAATAGAGGTTTTTTTCAAAATTCAATGATTGGTTGAGGGTTAAGGCATGTTCTGATAATTTGGAGGCGGAAGGGTTTCGGGAAGTTATGGATGTTTTGAGTTAAAAAATGTGGGTTTTGAGATGGTTTTCGGTTTCACCAATATAAGAGCTATTACAATTAGGAGTAGAGCAAGGTATCCGGTAAACTGCATTAGATCGGTGTTGTAAAAGTATGGGATCCTTCAAGTAGGTGAAAAGGAAAGAAAGTTTGTTATGGGACTTAATCTGAGAGAATAGGAATATAGGGGAGAGATTTGTATATGAAAGGAGTGGTAGATTATTGTGGGGAGTTGGGAGAAGGGGAGGTTGTACTCTTTTTGGTTGTATAGCAGTTTAAAAGTTTAAGTATGGTGTTGAGAGGAAAATTATTAGAAAGGAGTATATTTTTGACACGCTGAGTGTTGGCTTGGTGTTATTGATTGTGGATCAGATAAAGAGAGGGATTGGTGAATAAGGTTTTTGGTGGTATTGATTTTTTGGTGATATGGGTGTTGAGAATAAAAGTTGAGTAGTCTGCCTGAGTGCGTGGGTTTAGTCAGAAGAAACATAGCCGTCAGTGTTTTTTATTATTAGAAGGTCTTAAGAAGGGGAGTGAATTGTTAACTTCTTTCTCTATAGTGAATCGAAGACGGGGGTTGGTAAGAGTTAAATGAGGAAAGAATTTGAGAGATGCTGTCAGGGTTAAGAACAAGGAGGAGATCATCGACGTATTTTTTGATGAAAATGATGTCTTGATGAAAAGAAGGGATAACACAGTCTATAAGGTCATTGAGAACAATATTGGAAATATCTGGTGCTAAAGAATTTCTCATTGCTAGGCCTGAAATCTGATTAAAGAATTTTCCTTGGAAGGTGAGGAATCCGGATCTGCAACAAAGCTCAAGGTATGAGGAGAGGTTAAGGGTAGTGTGAGGTTCGATGATTGTCCAGTTTTGCTGTATAATGTGGAGGGCTTTGTTTATTGGGATGTTGGTAAATAGGCTTTCGGGGTCTAGGGAAACAAGGATAAAGTTGTCAGGAATATGGAGAGAAGATAACTCTTCTTTAAGGTGGAATGAATTATTAATGTCATAAGGATTATTGTGACTAAGTTTTTGGAGAGAGGGTAAAAAGAATTTGCTGAGTTTAGCTGAGGGGGCATTAATATTAGAGATGATAGGGTGGAGGGGATTTCCAGGTTTGTGAATTTTTGGGAGTCCATATAAGTGGGGTGGTAAGGAGTTGTAGGATATAAGGTTGTAGTAAGTGGGGCAGTTAATTTGTTTGGTCTCAAGTAAATTTATGTTTATATTTATACTTACTGTTTATATTTTAATGTACTTATTGTTAATAATTTTAAAAAGCTTATTCACATTGTTTATATTTTTTTGTCCAAATATTATGTAACTTCCTCAATTCTCTATATTTTTGTATCTTGTCTGTTCTAGCCCTGAATAAGACCTGCATAGTCGGGTCGAAAAGTTGTCTTTGAATAAAATAGTTTTACCACTATTTAGCCTATTTATGACCGCCGCCCCGGGCCATCTCCTTCCTTTGAACTTGTTACAGTTTCAATGTTGCATTATATTTCCTTTACATTCTTCTATTAGTTCATGAAATTTATTTCTGTCAAATCTGTCTCATCTGCTGTATCACTATCAACTATTTTGGTATATTAGACTTCATTTTATTTTGATAGGCAAATATGCAAAATGTGGGCATACTTTTCATAATGATAAATTTACATAAGACTAAATGGCCTAATTTTACTTTACTTTATTCATTCCCTTACTGAGCCTGGTCCATGTTTCTCGCTCACCAATTTTATTCTCCTTCTCCAATCCATTCCTTTACTTGCAAATGCTTCTTTTATGCCTTCCTCCCATCTTCTCCTTTGCCTTCTTGGTTTATGACCATCCACCTGTGTCTCAAATGTTTCTGTGGCTATTCTATTTTCATCCATCCTGATGATGTGCCCATACCCTCATGGTGGTATTCATAGATGTCCCTTATACTCCAATACTCCCTTATCGTCCCTAAAAGGCTGAGGTTAGAGTCCATGCTTAAAAGTTCCCTTCTACTACAGGGGAGATAGAGGGCCCTTCGTTATTCCCAAAACTCCCCTTTACGCTCACTACAACTTATATTTAACTGATAGAAAATGTAATTATTGTTAATTATTTTTGCTATCACTATACTTTTAACTCAATAAAATCTATTGAAATGAAACTTCTTGGGTACTTGTGACCAACGTCGCCTCTGCGAAGCCTCTCTTCTTATCTTATGTTACGTCACCTTCTTATCTTATGTTATTTTATGTCACGTAACCTGCCTTTTTATATAGTGTGAGCTGTTTTATATGTGTTTATTCATTGTGCTTTATTAAAATGGATGTAATTACATTGTGGGAATTGCATTCTTCAGAAGAAGAGGCTATCAAATATTCTCAAGATGCAGGGATAATTGTGAAGATGAAATATTGTGATGAAGGTCATAAAATGAAGTTCGTTGGGAAGACGTACTGGAGATGCTTTCGTAAGAGTTGGGAG